CCTGCCCCCAGCTGCTGACCTTGGACTAAAGGAGAGGTGACGCTGAGTGTCTGGTTGGTTGGCCAATGACCCAGTAGGGCACTCCAGGAACAGGCACTCCCCCTCTGCATCTTTAAGTTACAAAGAACCATAATAAGGTCATTTTTCATTCCTGATTGACAGGCCTAGAAACCCGGTTCAAAGGCCAATTGGGCTTTTGAACTCCATGGGGACATCCCAAGGACTCTGCTAAAATAGAATATATTCATTTTTTTAAAAAAGATTCTATTTACCTGAGAAAGAGAGAGTGAAAGAGAGCATGAGTGGAGGGGAGGGGCAGAGGGAGAAGCAGACTCTGTGCAGAGCAGGGAGCCTAATGCAGGATTCGATCCCAGGACCTTGGGATCATGACCTGAGCCCGAGGCAAAAGCCTAACAGACTAAGCCACCTAGGTCTCCAAATCTATTTCATTTTAAATCAATACCTTGCCAGATATGACAGTCCTAACCCAGAAGAACATGTACAAAGCCCTGACATCTGGACTTCCAAGGTGAATAGCACGGGAAGGGGCTCCAAGGTCAAAGGACCTGGACAACTCACACAAATTCACAACCACCTTTCAAAACGGTGCTATTTCCACACATCCACCGCATATTTCCTGAGCACATACGATGTGGCAGCACGGCTCTGGGTGAGGCAGAGATGCAAGAGACAAAGACAAAAACCACTGTGAGGTTTCCAAGGGGAGGCAGGCATGCAAAGATCAGGGTGGTTAGGTAACCTGCCCAGTCCTGGTGTTAATAAGGGATTTGAATCCAGATTAATCATATTCCATATCTGCTACTAGGAAGCGGATATCCTGCTCTGAGCTACCACGTGTTGTGTTTGTTTTGTGGCGGATGGGGGGGGGGGTGGTGGCAGCGGGGAGATGGGAATGGGCTGCGAAGAAGGTACTGCCCTGAGGCGGTGTTTGAGAGGGGCTGTAGAACCTGCTTGACCACAGCACTAGGACAAAATAAAGAAAAATATTTAGCTTGGAATCGGGACTTACATCCAAGGTCAAACTCACTGACCCAGGGCCAGTAACTAAACCTCTCTGAGCTTCAGTTTGAGTTTCTCTAAAAAGAGGGGGTGAGCCTTGCAAGGGATGGCAAATGCCTTCATCTCATCCAGCAACTCAAACCTATTCACAGAGGCTGCCCAGGGCACTGGGGGTAAGGAGCATTCTGAGGCCACATCTGGGCGAAGCAGAAAGGGCCAGCAAGGGAGGTCTGCCAGGAGCCTGGAAGGGCGATTAATCTGGGTGATCCTCTGAGGACTTCCGCTGCTGCTGCTGCTGTGAGGTAGCTGAGGGGCTGTCATTTTATTTTGGTGACTGAATATTTAAAACTCTCTTTCACTACTTTCTAACCAACTCACAGAACCTTTCTTCAATAAGCAGATTTCCTAATATAAGACTGGAGATACTGCTGTGTTTAATTTTTCCCTTTAAACCATTCTGTAACTGTGGCATAGTCAGGAGAACCTAGAAGCAGCTGTGGCAGTTGAGACTGCCTCACCGGACAGGAGTCCACCCATCACCACGGAGACGGAAGATGCCCCCACCCCCAAACACACCATGCTGCAGTGTGGCTCTGCCTCTACCCAACCAAGCAGGGAAGTCTCCTTCCCCTTGAATCCTGGCTACACAGCCCCATGGCTTCGTGGACCAATTGGGTGTGAAGTGCTATTCTGAGCCTTCCAGGGTTTCCTTTTCATACAGCATCCCTAGTCTTACTTCATTAGGATCTATCTTCTCACATATCTAAGTGATTAGAGGTATATTCCCCCCTTTTCTTCTAGCAGGGTTGTGCTCCTTGCATTGTCTCTGTCTCCTCAGAGTCCCTTTTTTATCCGTTTTGGTCACCATCCATCATTTTGGAGCCTTCACTCGGGTCTCTGATGACCCTCTGCTGTTGGTTAATACTTAGGGCTGAGACTTCAGCCTATCACTCACAGCCTGAAGAGTCTTGACTAACCACCAGTGGTCAGAGTCTACACTAGGACAGCATCAGGGAGGCTGGCTGAATTCAGACACAGACGAGACAGAACACAAAAATGAGCTGAGTTCAGGGGTTGGGGTATGCTCGGAAAGCAGCTTGTCCAGGGGTGTGGCTGGAGCATGGGGCACTGGTAACACCTACCAGCGGTGGGACACACAGAGCAAGCTTCACAGGAGTGACATTCCGTGTCACCCCGAGGTGTGCAGGTTGGGCCAACTGGGAATGAGGGGTGTGGAGGGAAGGAAGTGGCATGGCAGGGAAGAGGCCCTACACGCGTCTAGATGCCGACGATGACACCCTGGGCTTGAAGTGGATGTGGTGACTGAGGAGACAGTTGGGGGTCTCGGAAGGGGGTGGACAGAGCTGGTCCACGGGGAGGGCTGGGGATGACATGAACTGTCAGCAGCAGAGTGCCATGTGGTGAAGCATCTGCCGAGATGGTGGCTGACGACTGCTCCGGCTCCGCATCCCCACACTTCTCCTCCGGACACGGAGCTTACTTTGCACAAACGGTCGTCATAGCCGCCACTTCCCAATCCTAACAGCCAAGCGCAGTGTCCGTCAACTAACGAATGGATAAAGAAAACGTGGTGTATCCTTAAAATGGAATATTATCTGGCGACACAAAGAAATGGAGGACTGACAGATGCTTACAGTACAGATGAACCTTGAACACGTTATACTAAGTGGAAGAAGCTCATCTTAAAAGGCCCACATAAGGGCTGTGGCATCTAGTGACGAGCACTGGGTGTTGTAGGATTCCATGTATAAGAAATGTCCAGAACAAGCAGATCTACAGAGATAAAACAGTTTAATGGAGGGGGAGGGTTAAGGAAATGGGAGCTACCGCTAAAGGATATGGGTATCTTTTGGGGTGATGAAATGTTGTGGAATTACAGTGATGATGCTCGTACAACTCTGACTATACTAAGAACTACTAGATCGTACACATGACACAGGTTAAGTATATGGTATGTGAATCATCTCTTAAAAAAGTTGTTACTAAAAAAGGTGGGGGGTGTCAACGAGGTCTAGTTCCCCTCCCATTGAATCCAGCCACCCTTATGACTTGCTTTGAATGAGAGAATATGGGTAAGCAATGCTGGGCCAGTTCTGGGTCTACCCAGGAAATGGCTGGCAAACTTTCACTCTCATCCTCTTGGAAATTAGCTGCCCTGTAGATACGCCAGGCTAGATCACAAACAACAGGTAGAGAGAGGCCGCATGGCGGAAACCAGGACCCCACTCATGTGAATGAGAACATCTTGGGTCATGCCAGCCCCAGCCAAGCTGAATTAAGCCAAGCCGAATTAAGTGACCGCAGGAGAGATCCCATAAATCCAACTCAGAGAGTCAGGAGAATAAATCATTGTTGTTTTAAGCCACGGAGTTTTGGGGTGCTATGCTATAGGATGGATAACTGACATACCACCTCTCCAAGCCCCGGGTTCCACCTCTGTGACATAGGACTAAAGCTACAGGGCTCTTGGGAAGGTCACATGAGGCTAACAGCAGGCACCAGCCTCAAGAAATACTAGTTGCTATAGTTATTATTAATAACTATCATCCTAGGAGTCCCTTGACATACTGCAAGTATACTCCCAGGGAGGCCCCATTGTCATAAGCACCTGGTACCTCCAATCCCAGGGTTTCCAAAAAACTGGTTTCCCAAGAAAAACAAAGCAATTTTTTCCTACAATTTCTGTAGTACAAAAAAATTAACTTGGAACCATAAACAGCCTAGGGTTCTGCTTAGATCAGCCATCCACCCAGGTACCTATCCATTCAACACACCTTTATTAAGTCCTTACTGATTACCAGACACTGACGAACAGCAGCTCAGAAGACTTTCCCACCCCTGAAACAGCAACAGTTACCATATAGGGGGCTGCTAACAGAATGGACTACACACTTGCACTTCAGCTAGAGATGGACCTGAAGTCATAGATAAAATCTAAACTCACCCGGAGAAAAAGGTGATAGGTACATATTCCGACCCAAACCCTCAGGATTCCCATCGGGAATCTGCCCCTTTTAGCAGGGTGATCTGGAGCACATCATTAGTCCCCTCTATGACTTCATGACTTCCCATAAAATGGGAATAACCTCACAGGACTGTTGCAAGGATTAAATGTTAATGTAAATAAAGCTCTCAGGAGTCCACTCGGCACACAACAAGCACTCGGGAAGAATTAGCATTTTTAAAAACTTGAAGGTACAGTAACACGGCAATTATTCTGCAAACCAAAAGGTCATAGAACAGTCCTAAAAGTCACCCAGACACCCAGCACAGTGCTTCTCAAGACATTTCCTTTCTACTGATACTTTTTGCAAAATACCAATCACCTGCCCTAATGTCGCAGCCATGTCCAATTGCTCTCAAAGTTCTTCACTGGTTACTCGCACTCACTACTTCTCACAGCTGTCCCCAGACTGGCACTTGTCTGCACAGGCAACTTTGAGTAGCACTGTTCTAGGACACAGGGACAACTCACAGGCCTGCTGAAAACTCAGCTCACAGGTTCAAGAGAATTACAAAAACACGGAAGTAAAGAAAATCAACCCAACAGCTGGGGCAAGAGGATGACTTGCGGGTCAACAAACAGAGAGAGAAAATAACCTCGACCGGCCAAATCTAAAAAAAAACAAAACCGGCTGCCAGAGCAAGGACCCACCTGGTACCTTCCCCACCAGTACTCCAGAAGGTCCCCTCGTGAAACACGTCGACCAGGAAGTCATCAGGCCCAGAGTGATAAGAGACATAGAGAAAGTAGGCAGAACTGACTCAGGCCTCCCAAGAAAGAAGTCCTTCTCAAGAATTAGAAACCACCCTAAGCAGTCACCAAGCCTTGAGAACATCAACCATGGCACACAAAGGGCTGAGTTCCTTCTCTACAAAGAAAACATGCAAAAATTTCCTTTGGTGACATGGGACTGTGCCCCGCACACACCCACATATACACACCCCATTCCCAGTACCTGTGGTTTTAGGAGGCTCCTGAGGTCCGCCTTGCCAGCCATACTGTGGGTATCCTTGATAGGGGTACCCCTGAGGAGGTGGGTAGGGTCCCCCCATAGGTCCTGGGTGGCAGCCCCCTGGTCCCATTGGTTGTGGTGGATAAGGTGGGTACGGGGCCGTCGGACCAGGGCCCGGATACGGTGGAGGGTTCCCTGGGTTCATCAGGGACCTGCTGAGTGTACCTAGGAGATAAATAACAAAAAATTATTTTCATCTAATCCATGGAAATCATTAGTAAAAAAATTTCAACTCAAGAGACCATTTATAAAACACCTTAAAGGTTACAAACCTCTCGTAAACCTTCAGATCTGCCCATTGTTTCTTTCTCACCATTTCCACAATTGACAGACAAGTATCTTCTGTATCTATTTACCTGCCTTCTGCCTGCCCTCCTCACTAGACTGCAGGCCTTGAAGGCAGGGACCAATCACCTGTGGGTCATCGCCACGATACTGGAGCTTAGCATACTGCCCAGTACAAGAACAGCATCTCTTTGTAATTCTCTGAAATGTCCAGAAATGTGACTGCATAGCTCTAGGAAGAAGACACCAAGTGTAACAGCACTAATTAGGAGTCAGATCAGTGGGGGCTAACCCAGCATGAGAAATTCTCCAAAAAAACAGCGCTGGGCCATGCTGGGATCTTCTAACAAACAACACTACTGCCGTGACCAACAAAGACCCACGGCTCTAAGCAGCTGAGCTGTGTGCTTGGTTCTCACTGGACAGAGGGCACTCAATCCAAGGTCCCAGGACTCTAGAGAGCTCACCAGGAACCCTCATATTTGTGTTTAATGACGCCTGTTCTTGGTGGTTTGCTTCTGTGAGGGAGGCCATTGCTTCCCAGCCCCCAAAGACTTGTTAACCATTCTTGACTGGCCTTGAAGGCACGGAGCCAGCACCTCCTCTCCATCATCTCTGCAACCCCCACAGTGCCTGACATGGCAATGACTTGACTAAGAGCATTACTGGGGAATGCAAAGTCCATACTTTGGATGAACGTGGCATCAGTACTCTTGCTACGTTGTACTGTTACCCATCTGGAGTACTAATATTTAACTCTTTATCTATTCGAGGATTTTCTATCCCCAACCAAACCCTAAGTTAATAGAAGCAAAACTCTCATAGTCAAATTCACTATTAATTCTTCTTTATAACAGTAATCAATAAATTTGTAAGTGACTATGTCTGTATATGAAGACAAAAATAACCATAAAATAAGGTTCCCTAGAAAAACCAGATTAAAGTATAGTGGACTTTGCAGTTTGCCCACACAACCACCATATCCCCTTCAAAATAGCGGTCAGGTATCCATCCATTCTTCCTTCTGTAACAGCTCCGGGATGAGCCCAGGGTAACCTAAGCCAACCCAGGCCACTCTTTCCCCCTTCGCATCAAGACTGGTAGAAGGTATCCAGGACTAAATCAATCACAAATGGCATTCCTTGGCCAATAGGACTGGTTCTGACGTAGTCCGGTAATTAAAAGCTAACACGCTCCTGACCTTCCCTTCCCCTTAACTCGAGTACACACACAGTCCAGTGAGGACACAGCCTGGAGCACTGCTGACAGCCCGTGTGCAGCCCTGAGGAAGCCAGCCCGAAGACGAAGAGGTGCTCCAGAAAAACAGAGCCGAATGGGGGTGCCTGGGTGGCTCAGTGGGTTAAGCCGCTGCCTTCGGCTCAGGTCATGATCCCAGGTCCTGGGTTCGAGCCCCACATCGGGCTTTCTGCTCAGCGGGGAGCCTGCTTCCTCCTCTCTCTCTGCATGACTCTCTGCCTGCTTGTGATCTCTCTCTGTCAAATAAATTAAAAAAAAAAAAAAAAGAAAGAAAAACAGAGCCGAAAAGGAAAGTATTCCAGGTGACTTTGTAATGGTTCATAAATCAGGCAGAAACCTAAGCCTAACCTCAACTACCTCTACAGAATTTCCAGTTCTGGGAACCTGTGGTAAGTAAGCTAATGGGCCCCTCTGAGTGACATTCCAGCAAGCACACAGTTACACAGTGCTGACCGTGCCTGGCGCTGTGCTAGGTAATGGGGGTACAGAGATAAATAGGGCTCAAGTGCATCCCTTGGGCACCTGGTTAAAAAAAGGCAAACATAAGGATAGTGAATTTTAGAAAAGGTGGTAAATAGACAGCTGGGGAGGAATAGGGGCTTAAACCCAGTAGGAGGTGAGAGGGTCACTTGAAGGAGGTGATTATAGAAACTTTAAAATACGGATTCAGAATGGCTTGAAGGTCTCTATTTTGACCACATCTGCATTCTGTCCCTCATGTTAGAGACTCACTTTTCCAGGGGCCTAATAGGGACTCAGAAAAAATTCGAGTTCTTTCCCTTCTCTCCTCTCGGCCAACAGGGCATCACACTCTGACCTGAGAACAGCCTTTCCCCTTACACTAACACGAAGGCTCATGGTGACTAACACTGCAATAATCACATGGTTCTGGGGACACGTACATAACCCCAAACCACTTCTGCATTTCCTCTCTTCTACCAAGAAGGCTGTGGAAAACCTAGTGAACCTGGTCTAAAACAGAAATAAAGGGGTGTCTGGGTGGCTCAGTGGGTTAAAGCCTCTGCCTTCGGCCCAGGTCATGATCCCAGGGTCCTGGGATCAAGCCCCGTGTTGGGCTCTCTGCTCAGCAGGGAGCCTGCTTCCCCCTCTCTCTCTGCCTGCCTCTCTGCCTACTTGTGATCTCAGTCTGTCAAATAAATAACATCTTTAAAAAAAATTAAAAGAAGAAAGAAATCAATCTCATTGACCCTCCCAGTCCCCAAATGGCCATTTCATTATTCACTTTTTAGGTCACAAAAGTAGAACACAACCATCATAAGTACGCTTTCCAGTAATTTCGTATATGGGGGGTGGGCGGCTCCTCTGAACTGAACTAATCCCATCAAAACTGTATTTTGTCTTGATTACTCCAAAAAGACCCTGTAGTCATGATCATTCTCACTCTAGCAAAATCTGGACCAAACTCTGTAGACATTGTCCTTAAGAACAGCGATCCATGAGAAGAAAAAAGAACAAAGTACACACAACTATTACAATAGACCGCAATATTTCATGACTTTTCTGGGTCCATTTACTTGCAGCTATTCTCCATTATCCTATGCTCTTCTCTCTCTGAAACCCTCAAAACTCTTCCAAATGTATGTGCCCTCTCTCCTTCTCCCTCAATATGTTTCCCCTTCAGTTTTGGTATGTACCTCTCTCCCTCTTCCTGGGGAATCACTTCATGTCTAGGGAGAAAAAAAAAATCCCAGGTGCTACTCACAGAGGCACTTATAAAGAACATAAACCAGTCGGGGCTCCAGCTGCCACACCTCCTGCCCTACTGTGTCCCTATGTTCCCAAGACACCCCGTCATCTTAAAGGGATAAAAATTTGGACCTATCTTCGTTTCCCTCTAAATAGAAAAAAAAAAATCTCAGTAGGAGAAGAGGGAAAGTCACAGAAACAGCATCTGTGCTGAGATCAAAGAACACGGAGCTGACATTTGCAAAGCACAACTTCACCTAGTGGGAATCAATCGGGAATCCCAAGTGTGCACAAAAGCCAACCCAAGTAAAAAAGATTACCTAACACTGACTCAGTCTAGTACAAACCATTTAATGTCATCAAAACACAAATGAGCGTTAAATTCAAGGTATGATACTTAACTCTGTACCATGAACATTTTCCCTTATAAATCTGCTCAGGTGAAATGCAAGCCCTGCTCTACCAGAGTGTGTTACACCGAGAGTCAAATGTAAACTGTTAATTGTACTATTAAAGACAAATCAGAGCTCCAAATGGGAGAGCTCAACTTAAGCAGCAGCCAAGATCCCGTAACGGACAGCAACGAACAATGCTAATCAATGATGCCCATCAGGACGGGCTCAAAGTCCCAGCACCAGCGGCCATTCATCATACAATGAGAAGAGCAGCAACTATGCTTTCAGAAAGTGCTCCTCCGACATAAGACCACTAGAAAGGACCTCAAAAAACGCAGAGACACAGGAAAGACCAATATTTTTCAAAGCTGTCGTTGTTCTTTAAATTACAAATGACAAGATACCTGGCAGCCTGGCATTTACCCTGAAGGGAGAACAGTGAAGAATTTTCCTCTGGAAAAACTAAGAAGTCCCCATGGAAGAAGTATTCCTGTTATCAGTATTTGAGGAGATGCCAAGAAATGACTCACCCAGTCGCCCCACAGCAAAGCCCGTGCACACAGAACTTCTGACTTTTTATTGCCTAATACATAAATGAATGGACAGAAATGATCAGACATTTGAGTAAAGTCTGCAACAAAAAACAGCAAAACAGAATAGGAAGAAAAAAATTAAATATCCAAAAGAAAAATAAATTATGGTACAGCTATATAGTAGTTCTTTTGAATTTTTAACTGGTATTTTTTTTTAAAGATTTTTACTTATTTATTTGACACAGAGAGAGATCACAAGTAGGCAGAAAGGCAGGCAGAGAGTGAGGGGGAAGCAGGCAGAGAGCCCAATGTGGGGCTCGATCCCAGGACCCCGAGATCATGACCTGAGCTGAAGGCAGAGGCTTAACCCACTGAGCCACCCAGGCACCCCTGAATTTTTAACTGTTTTTGAAGCATGATGTGGTATTAAGTATAAAAAAAATTTTTAGGGGGCACCTGGGTGGCTCAGTTCGTTAACTGTCCAACTCCTGATCAGGCCTCAATCTCGCAGTCATGTGTTCAAGCTCCTCGACAGGCTCCACGCTGGGCATGGACCTTACTGAAAAAATTTTTTTCTAAAGCTATATATTCAGCATGATCCCATTTTCTTCTTTTTTTCTCCAAAGATTTTATTTACTTATTTATTTGAGAGAGAAGCACAAGTGGTGGGGAGGGTGGAGGGACAGGGAGCAAGGGTCTCAATTCAGAACCCTGAGATCATGACCTAAGCTGCTCAACCTACTGAGCCACCCAGGAGCCTCAAACCCATTTTCTTTAAATATTCATAATTAAATTAATGTACAGAATGAAAAGGCCTACAAAAGACTCATATAGTAGTCACCTAATTGTATAGGAAGGCACCACTACAATTCATAAAGTAAAAATTAGGGGTGCCTGGGTGGCTCATTGGTCGGGCGTCTGCCTTCGGCTCAGGTCCCGCATCGGGCTCCCTACTCAGTGGGAAGCCTGCTTCTCCCTCTCCCACTCC